CAGCGATATATGTCGAGAACTACCTAGATCTGTCCTACACATCGATATAAATCAACGGTTACCTAGATCTGTCCTATACAGCGATATATGTCGAGAACTACCTAGATCTGTCCTACACATCGATATACATCGACAGATACCTAGATCTGTCCTACACATCGATATACATCGACAGATACCTAGATCTGTCCTACACATCGATATACATCGACAGATACCTAGATCTGTCCTACACATCGACAGATACCTAGATCTGTCCTACACATCGATATACATCGACAGATACCTAGATCTGTCCTACACATCGACAGATACCTAGATCTGTCCTACACATCGATATACATCGACAGATACCTAGATCTGTCCTACACATCGATATAAATTAACAGTTACCTAGATCTGTCCTATACATCGATATAAATCAACAGTTACCTAGATCTGTCCTATACATCGATATATGTCGAGAACTACCTACATCTGTCCTACACATCGATATACATCGACAGATACCTAGATCTGTCCTATACATTGATATAAATCAACGGTTACCTAGATCTGTCCTATACATCGATATATGTCGAGAACTACCTACATCTGTCCTACACATCGATATACATCAACAGTTACCTAGATCTGTCCTATACATTGATATAAATCAACGGTTACCTAGATCTGTCCTATACATCGATATATGTCGAGAACTACCTAGATCTGTCCTACACATCGATATAAATCAACAGATACCTAGATCTATCCTATACAATGATATACTAGACTTACAGTTGAAATATATTTGTAAAACTAATAGTTAAAGTAACAATACTCATAGATTCACACTGTCAAATTTCTTTCCTAGGTATATTTCAAAACCACATTCAGTTTCTGTTATGTCTGACAACTCCAGTGGAGATAGTGCTTCTTGGAGTCAGTTTTAGTCGAAGACATGAAAGTAAGTAAACGTGGTAAGAAGATGTTGGTAATAAACTTGGAGATTATTTTTAAGAAGTCTAAAACACACTCCAGTATTCCAATATTTCAGTTGTGCTAGTAACAGATCTAGGTAGTTGTTAGTGTATATGGATGTGTAGGACAGATCTAGGTAGGTGACAATGTATATGGCAGATCTAGGTAGTTGTTAGTGTATATGGATGTGTAGAACAGATCTAGGTAGTTCTCGATGTATATTGATGTGTAGGACAGATGTAGGTAGTTCTCGACATATATTGAAGATGATGAAATAAGGCATTTTTCATTTGAGCTTTTTTTTTTTATTACGCGTCAACAAAGTCTGCTTCTTGTCAAAATATTTCTTTTTCTATACCCATGAATACAAAATATTTTCAATAATAAAATCTAATGTATTTGGTTTCTCAAATTGTTAACCCTACTTACACAGGTCACGGGTCAAAGGCCATGTCATTGCATTTGTTGACTTGCATTCAAAATTTTACTGAAATACTATTTTATTAATGTATGTCAGTAAGTTTGGCATCAAATTGTAGATTTTAATTCAAATTTTAGTATGATACATTAGTTAATTTCTTAATTTAAAAGTAAATATCAAAAAAAATCCTAAGTATTAATTTTTGTGTGACACATGGTATGTTGAATGCAGCATTGGTTCAAATTAGATGTTTGTGGTGTCCAAATACAAAGTCTATAGGTTCTTTACGAATTAGATACTCAAATTACCAATATTGACAAGCTAGAATATAAAATAAGAACCTCCTATCTTTTCTATTTTCTGAGATATTAATACAGTTATTGAATCGACCAAGGTGGCCCTGCCCACCTCTTACATTTTTGAAAATACTTGACACGTACACCTACTTCGCCCAAAGACATGTGTATAACCAATCAAAAGCTCAGAATGTCTCCCTAGTAGTTTTTTTAGCCTCTTTGAAGTATTTCGACAGCAGGCTCTTTCGTTTCATGCTAGATTCCAACTGGTAATGTAGGACATTAGTGAACTCCAAATTTCATATTTTTTTAAACCCAAATACAGCTTAGTTACTAACTTTGATAAATGATAGTGGAATTCTGTGATGTTGATATATTAATTTATGATTTTTGGTTATTTCAAAATGTTTATATAAAACCTATAAAAAGGTATTTTGTTCCACATCCTCCATATGCAAAATTTGACAAGGCTTAGCAACCTACATCAAGCAGCAAACGAGTACAAAGTCATAACTAGAAGAGATAATTGTTTGCTATACTTCTTTATTTACTGTTCTATGTTTTAAGAAAAATAAGTTTATGAAATTATTTTTTTTTAGTAATAAAGTTCATATATATATATATATATATATATA